CCCTCCAGTGTGTGCAGCTGATTTACTGCTCCGTCTCAGTGTCTTTGAAGTGGAGTTAACACATTTAGACGGACCAAAAATAAAAAGGGAATTCTGTTTGACTTCTGCTCTGATTCCACTCTCCCACTGGTGTGTGTGGTGTGTTGTGTGTAGTGTTGTGTTGTGTTGTGTTGTGGACTGACTGGTATTTTCCAGTGAAGTTGTTGAAGGAGGTCGTGGTAAAGCAGGTACAGTGTTGGTGTCTGGGTGGATTCTTTTTTCTCTCTCTTTCTTTCGCTCTCACATTTTCCTTTCACTCTTAAGTGTTTTGGAATGAGAGCAAAGCAGGGGTATCTTTTATTACCCCCCCCTCCTGCTGCCAGAGTGAGGCTAACACCCGGGTCTTATCAGCTGTGTTCTCTCTCTCTCCTCTCTGCTGTCAGAGGGCTGCTTGGAGAACGGCCTCTTCTACGCTGTTAATGACCAGTGGGAGCGTCAGTACCTGGGCAGCACGCTGGTCTGTACCTGTCACGGAGTCGCAGGTGTGAAATGTAAAAGTAAACCAGAAGGTACGTTTGGTTTTTTTTTGTTTTTTGGGGTCTTTTTTGTCTGCCTACTTTTGTGCCATTAAAACCAGTTTCTGTGCGTAGCCGAGGAGCGGTGCTACGATAAGGTCAACCAACAGTACTACACCGTGGGAGAAACCTACGAGAGACCCAAGGACGGCATGATCTGGGACTGCACCTGCATCGGCTCCGGCAGGGGCAAGATCAGCTGCACCATCGCCAGTGAGTCTTCGTCCTCCTCTAACTGCCCCCCTACCTCAGACCACACACACCAGCATGTGCTTCATGTGTGGATTTCCCACTCGTTAATCTGCATATCCTCTCCAGCTGATTAACGACGGCAGCCACACGGCTGGGACCAGTAAACTGTGTGGCGTGTTAATTGGATTAACGTCTGAGTTTGTACTTTGGAGGTTTTTTTTTTGTTCTTTTTACACTGGGCTGTAAAAACACATGTGGCTGACTCTTGGTCTTTTCTTTTTCCCCCTTTTTTCCCAGATCGCTGCCACGAAGGCGGAGCTTCATATAAGATCGGCGACACCTGGAGGAGACCACATGAAACAGGAGGATACATGCTGGAGTGTGTCTGTCTGGGGAACGGTAAAGGAGAGTGGACCTGCAAACCTGTGGGTGAGTCACTCAGACTGATGACTGCGTCTTCATCACCACCTCTACATCAAGAACCTTCACGTCGACGATGACGGACGACCGTCACGCGTTTGTCTGTATTTTACAAATCTGTGTTCCCTCACAGCTGAGCGCTGCTACGACAACTCCGCGGGAACGTCCTACGTTGTCGGCGAGACTTGGGAGAAACCCTACCAGGGTTGGATGGTGGTCGACTGTACCTGCCTGGGAGAGGGGAGTGGACGCATCACATGTACCTCCAGAAGTAAGAGAGCACTTTCATTTGGTTGTAAACTCACGGAGCTGTTTGTTCAAATTCCCACCCAATCCTGTTGCTTCAATAACACAGCTAGCGGACCAGAAAGTGAGCAGAGCTTTGTTAGCACTGGTTCCATGTTCAAGTCTGAACAGAAACGTGACCTGGTGAGGCGTTAACACCTCGTTAATTAACGAAGAGACGTTAGTCTATTCAGGACAAAAGACCAAAAGCAGCAACTTCTCAAAAAGATTCCTGGAACATCACCTCCGTGAGGCGTTAACACCTCGTTAATTAACAAAGAGACGTTAGTCTGTTCAGAAAGACCAAAAGCAGCAGCTTCTCAAAAAGATTCCTGGAACGTCACCTCTGATGCTTAGCTATCCGATGGAAGTGTTTGTTGTAAATGGAACCAATATTAAACCCCGGTGGAGCCGACGGATACAACAGATCATAACTGCCCACTTTCTGTCACATGTGAGACACGTGTGGTCTTTCCAGAGGAGTCTGTCAATAAATTATCCGACGTAAATCCAACAGAGATCAACAATGTCAGCGCAGCACAAACATGGAAACAGCTGTCGACCAGAAGGAGTCGTTCTCCGCAGAACTCCCATCAGCCCCGCACAACAATGCCCCGTTTGTCCGTCTCCATGATGATTCCCAGCATTTTGTTTATTTCCTTTTTTTTCCTTCATTTCTTTTCCCGCTCAGATCGCTGTAACGACCAGGACACGCTGTCCTCGTACCGTATCGGAGACACCTGGACAAAGACCGACGCCAGGGGCCACCTGCTGCAGTGTCTGTGCACAGGAAACAGCCGCGGGGAGTGGAAGTGTGAGCGACACGCCTCCCTTCACACCACCGGACTGGGTGAGAACTGATAACGTCTCTGCTCGGTCCTTCACACCCCCCCCCACTCC